TATTATAAAATGGGAAGAAACTGTTCAAAAAGAAAGAAAAACTGGGATGGGGGAAAGGAGAAAAGAAGGAAAAGAAAAATAATATATAGGAGGCAGTTAAGAGTTACACTACTAATTTCTCTTAATTCATTGAAAAGGTTTGTGCCAATATTGTATGGACAATCAAATGCCTGTATCTTGTACTCTGAGTAATCAATTTAAAGATAATAATATGTAATGTATTAATCATTGTTACCCTCCCATTATTTTGTTATGAAATTCTTTTTTTTTCTCTTTAAAAGAAAAAACAATTCTGCAACGCATAGGATAGGTCCTCTCTACAAAGACCTATCTGGCCTCAAATGTCAACAGTGTGAAAGCTGAGAATTTTGACCTAGATGTCTCATATTTGTATTCTTCCATTTTCCTAACAGGCTCAAGGTTATTGATGTTTCTGTAGGCATCATTCAGTCTACAAAACGTATGAATCAGATGACACAAAAGAAAATTCAGGATAGAACTGTTTTGGGAGCAAAAATAAAAGAATATATGAGATGTCTATTGACAGAATGGATAGTTATAGGGCTTTTAAACTATGGAACACTATACTTAGTGAAAAGGAAATATAAACAATATAGACGATTCCTGGTACAGGAAAAAAAAATAAAAAAAAAACAAAACAATATAGACCAATGTTAATATTTAATAAAGAAATGTCAAGATTATATGCAGCATGATAGTCTTTTTATAAAGTTCTAAAACTAAAAAAATACTGTTTACATATACACCCAGAGGAGATGAATAGGCAGAAAGGATAAGGGGTAAACACATGCATAAATGTAGAGTTACTGTCAATGTTTCAGTGTTTGAACTGGGCAATGGGCTCACAGGTGTTAGTTATACTACTGAATAAATAAGGTTGAGGAGGTCAAGGAATCGACCAATGAGAAGTTTATTACTTAAGATGATGATAAGATAAGCATCTGTTTGAGGTCATGAAAAAATTAAATTGGAAAAAAGACAAAAAAAGACCAAAAAAAAAAAAAAAAAAAAAAAAGACTGAGGTTATATAACTTTCCCTACAGCCCTATTTAAATGTGGAAGAGCAGAGATTTAAATTTGGCTCCAGATGGCCGGGCATGGTGGAGCATGCCCATAATGCTGAGGCAGGAGGATGAGGCAGGAGGGAGGCTGAGGCAGGAGGAC